AGTTCCGTTCATGATTTAGAATCATAAATTGTTAAAGAAACCTGGAGGAACTTAGGCTAATGTATATCTTATAATCTGAGCCCAGACTTAAAATTGTTCAAAAAGCTAATGGTTAAATTGCAAGAAAGATGATAGGTACTTACAGACTTACGGTTTAGAAATACAAAGAATTAATAATGTCGGAGGGATGCAATTCCGATATAAATCGGGTTACCATATCTACTGTGATAAACGTGTTCCGTTCATGATTGTTAAAGAAACCGCGAGAAACTGAAGCTAATGTGTATTTTATAATTTGAAAGCAGACTCGTTGAAAAAGCCAATGGTTAAATTGCAAGAAAAATGATACAGACTGAAGGTTTAGAAAGACAAAGAACTAATAATGTCGGAGGAATGCAATTCTACCGCGAATTCAAAGACTCAAAAGCTAGAGCAGATACCGTAACTGGACTTGGGACAGATTAAAGCTAGTTCAGAACCATGCCTAACTCCGCTTTGCGGTCCCAGGCCGCCTCATCCGCGCCGTTTCACCGCTTTGCGGCCAACTTTTGACCCATATTTCCTCCCCGTGCGAGGGAGTTAATGCTCGTTAACGAATGGCAACGTTCGCGTACAAAGGCTACTTTGACTTTCTACGCGTGGTCGCGGATGGTCCACTCGTTTAACCTCCCTACTGGACCTCAACAACTTTCCAGGATAAATTGAAGCGTTTTGGAAGATTACACTAATCGATCTTCGATCAGGCATTTCAACGGATGCAACGCATCGACGAAATGACGAAGAAAAACGAGGAGAATTGTTAAAAACGCAGTTATGCGAAAAAAGGAGCGTCGCGTTAGGTAACCAAGGGTAAAAATAACTTTGACTCAATCGAACAGGCAAACGTAGATACACACGCGACGACGATCGTTCGAATGTTTTCTGAAAACACACGATTCGCGAGTGCACAGAGTGCACTCTTTTACCGTGACGAAAAAACCACTTTTTCGCCAAACAAAAAAGAAAAAACGGATTCCCAGGAAAATACGAAAGCGTTCGACATCGTAGGCAGCGAGGTATCGCTGAAGGACCGCGAAGAAAATGTTTGCCGAGTCAACGGAACGTGTTTTCGCGGTGCAAGCGGTTTCGTCTCTTTCTCTATCTTCCAACGACGAAAGACGTTCAAGCAGCACCCAAGTTCGTTAATGTTTAAACAACCCCACGGCTACTACCTCTATCTATCGTTTCTCAATCTCGGACTACGATTTTCCCCCTGAAAAGACGAACGAACCTTGTCGTGTTTCCCATGCTTGGGAAAATCAGACGATTCGCATCTACCAAAACCTTTACCCAAACAACGCACTACTATCCTAACAAGTATTTTCCGAGATTGCGAACTAGGGCGCGAAACTTAATTACCAAGATACAAGAACAAGTAATTTAGCCGTTTATAATTTCAAGAGAAGTGGCAGAAAGTTTTTATCGGTCGCGAAGGAAGTCGAATCGAACGACGAGGTGTCAGTGCGATTTAAAATGCAATTTGCATCGGCAGAAGCTACTCGCAGAAATCACAAACGGGCTCTGATTAGAGCCAAGTTTTCCGGCAAGAAACTGGTCGTTCGCGAACGAAGTCAGGCGAATCCCGTCGAGAAAACGAGCAAGATGAGTAACAAGACGGAGAAAGAGTTGGAAAAAAAAAAAGAAACGGGAGAGGAATTTACCGGGGCTAATTGCATGAGATATGCGATTGTTTCATGCATATTCAGCGAGTCCTCGATGTGGGAATAGCTGATCGCTACTTCTTCCAGCTACATCCTCTTTCTCGCCGTTTTATTTTTCCTTTTTTCCGCTCGTTTTCCTTTTTCACGAAAAGTCGCCCTCTCCAGAAGTAGGAAGCTCCCTTCTTCTCTCCTGGAACGAGTAATCCGATCCTAAGCCGCGAGCTACGTCCTCGATATTAATTAAGTCCTCGATCTTGCGCGCACCTGCTTCTCTCCTTTCCTCGATACGTTCGCGAATACGTATAATCTCTCGTTTCTCTCTAGCAAACAAGCTCACCAGCGGACAGGACGTAAATAACGTTTATGGAGAACAAATCGGTGTAATACTCGAAACGAGAAACTTCAACTGTCTGGCGTAGTGGACAAAAAGTGTTCTTATCAGAGAATATTTAAAATATTTGAAACAACGTTATCAATGATAAGCGAATAAAAGAGCATCGACTGTAGAGTTGTATCGACGAGCAGAGAACTGGTCGTTCCGCAATAAGGAAAAATCCTCGAGTTTCGTTTGGTCGGCAACGAGCTCGAATAAACTTGCCAACTTTTCATTCGACTCTTCCGGCGAACGAGCCGCAATATTCGCCAATTCTCAAAGTTTCGTTAACGCGAAAACATTCCCGGGGAAACACAATCTCGCGAGACGGAACAAGCTTCTCCGGACGATTATCGAATTCTCCGGGAAACGTTTCCCTCGACCGCCGCTGCCGATGTTCATCCTTTTGGATTTTCAATCGCGGTTATTCCCTCGAAATATCGACAGGATGATCGATGACCAGGAAACTGGCTTACGAATATCTTCTACATTTCGTTTCACCTCTACTGTATATTTCGCTCCTTTATACTCCTATCTTAAATTACTATATGTACCCGCTTTACTTTTGACACGCAATAATACGTTCCTTCGAAAATTTTCACCGTAAAAACCGCCTAGACGATAGGTCCAGGATAAAAGAACATCGCATAGTCAAAGAATAGGAAAAACTTTCGATATAAAACCGACCGCTCAAGAGATCAAGAGATCACGAAGAGGATGGAACTTTCGGAAAGCAAGAAAATATATCGTGGGTCTTCCTGCTTTCTTCGTCGTTGAATAGCTTCCGACAATAGCATTGTGTTTCTTAAAAGCACATGCAAGCCAGTGAAACCACTCAGCCTGATTGAGAAAACGCGAACCGTGCGCGATCGGATCTATTCGATTCGATTAGATCCGATACCGAAACGGTCGCAGCGGAACGAAAAGCAACTTCGTCCGTTTGATGGGTAGTCGCGAAAGATTTTACTACTCTAACGATAAGATTCAACAAGTCTTACGCTGCTTTCACACTCTCTGTGCTCTCGTAGTTGATTCAAATAGCGTTAATATTACATTACTATAGTTTCATAATGAACATGGTAAATTGGAAAATGTTCTGTTCTGACTAATTACAATTATAATGCATCGTGTTACATTTCCATTAATGGATATGCGAGAGCGTATACATACGCCCTTCTCAATCAAAAGGTTAAATCTCGCGCGAACAACGGCAACGTGCGCCGATAAACAGTAGACACGTGCCAACTCAAACTTCTTGCAACATTCTTGCGAAATTCACTTCGTTCCCGTTTACAAACCGGTGACATAATATTGATGCAAAAAAAAAACAACGTTTTTTAAAAACTTACCACCAAGCAAGATGTGTACCAGAAGCGGGATGAATCGATGTCGACGCACTCTCGTCATGATTCTTCAGCTCTACATCAACTTGCCTTTGCACCTGCCTTGTTCACTCTCGATTCCCGTGTATTTGTTAACCTGTTAACCGTGTGAATTAACAACACATGATTTTATAGACATAACAAATTGTGTATTAGGTTGTTGCATATCAACAAACGGCCGACAGAAATGATTATGGTACTAATTTATTTTTCATTCTTTATTCATTTATTATTTTGATTTTACTAAAATATAGTTAAAATTGTGAAAAATTTACAAAAGAAATCGGTCATTTTATTTGCATCAACCTAGTAATCCATTTTTATTCATTATTCGTTCGCACTCACAAAAAGAAAACAACACTTTTACGATAGAAAAAATAATCCGGTTAACAGGTTAAAAGTTTTTTAAATATAAACACAAACCCTATGTAAATGACAAGTCTTTCGGTTCACGATCCAATAAATAAACAAGCGTTACAACGATAAAAATATTAAGAAAAACACGAGAAACGAACGAGTTGAAGTCCGACGAAGCCGTTCGACACAGAGGCTCACGGGGAGAAGTTGCGCGGACGAGGTCTCGGCTTCGACTGGCGCGCTCGACGTACTTGAACCCTCTGATAACCGGCCAGCCCCCTCTGATTCAACGTTCACCGGCTCCGTGTAAGCACCGTTTCGTTCGTTCTTTCGTTCTGTATCGCCCCCATAGAAACCTCTTTCCCCCATAACGCGCTAATTTTCTAATTAACGCGAATCGGACCGCGAGCCATCTTTCCAAGGATTCGATGAATTTATTGCCTTATTCTGAACCATGTGTCGTCTTTTCCAAATTGTTTTCGCAGCGAAAAATGAACGTATGAAGTCAATACTGATGGAATTAGAATTTGTTACGATACTATTTCGATACTTGCTATTCATAAATGGTACCCCCTGAACTTATCAGCTTTATTTTAATACATACAAACGAGATGATTACGATCGTTTGTAAATAAATCTTGTACTCTCTATTCTTTTTTTTCAGAACCATTAAGTTTACAACAAAAAAGGGTAATATTTGAAACTAGATCCAAAAAATGAAATCGACACTGCAATCAAATTACAATCCCAACATTTATTTGTGCTTTCATTTCCTTTCCCTTTCGCTTCACTGCAATAATCAACAAACGTGTTGTCTTTCTTAACTGAACGTATGCTTCCGGTAAATACCTTGAATGATCGTCCACGTGGCATGAAATTTTCAAAGGGAATTGATATAATTTTTCGTTAACCTTTGAAATTATAATGGATAATTATCTAACGTATTTGTATCATATTATTTGGTTTTCGATTAATGAAATTTTCCATTGAAAAACATAAAAATCTTTCAATTGATCAAGCTCTACTCAGCGTCGTTTGGATGGCGTACTATCAAAGCAAACGAAGAAGGATAGGTTATTGTACGTGTTGAGCACGTGTTGTGCAAGATAACAGAGAAGAGAAGATTTCCGTTACGAAGCCAACGCGCTTCATACGTCGGAAGTGAGGTCTGTAGTCGAAAATCGACCAAAGATATTAAAGTAACGAGGTTCTCTGTATAAACCGGACGTTAGCGCATCCTGTGAGTTGCGCAACAGTCGCGAGGTCAGCAGCATTGCAACTTTTTGGCGCCAAGTGAGTGCAAGGCGCTATATATTCCACTTCCAAGTGAATCGCTTTGTAAAATTAGTACGTATATAAATGGCAATATTAAAAAAATTCAATGTTCAGTATATGACAGTCATAAAAACGATTTTACACGTGTATTTGTAAACATAACCTTGATATACTTTTAGTGCCGCCAAGGAAAGCAACAAAACGATCAGCACTGACTACCCCGAAGGGTCCAAGAGAGCCGAAACAGATCAGGAAGAAACAAGGTGAGTCATTATTTTATTAAAGGCCAGCAGTTACTCAGGATCGTGTTTTTCTCGCTTACAAACTGTTATTTATCTAGAGAAATTTTATCAAGAGTGTAAAACCACAATGCACATGGTTGTAGTTTCGATTCTACGATCGATAATTATTGTATCTCCGTAGTGGATGGTTTGTAGTACACTTAAGGTGTTCTGCAAGTTTCCAGAAACGTTTGAAACAATTTTTTCTGTCATAATATCGTGAATATCAGATGTTCTACAATTAGCGGGAATCGGCGCGAACCTAATCGTTCATCCGTGTATGAAATATCCTAACAGCTAAACATTTGCATGCATTTCACAGAATTGATTGTGAAACCTGACTTCCGACAAATTCCGAGCGGCGGCGTGATATTGGTATTTGGACAAGGTGATGTAGGACAACTTGGTTTAGGAGAAAATGTTGTTGAAAAGACACGTCCAGCAACTGTTCCTGGGTACCAAGATATTGTTGCTATAGCAGCTGGTGGTATGCACAATGTCTGTTTAAGAGAAACAGGAGAAGTATTAACATTTGGGTGCAACGATGAAGGAGCATTGGGACGGGATACTTCTAAAGATGGTTCTGAAAGTGAACCAGGCTCCGTCAGTCTACCTTCCAAAGCTGTTCAGGTGACGGCTGGGGATTCCCATAGTGCGGCTTTACTGGAAGATGGACGGGTGTTTGCATGGGGCTCCTTCAGGGTATACTTTTTCTTTTAATTTTCTTTTAATTTTACTATTTTATCCGGTACACGGTTCCTAAAATACAAGTTGATGTAAAATGAAATGTATCTTCAAGGATTCTCATGGCACTATGGGTCTAACTTTGAAAGGAAACGAACGATTTCCGATAGAAATACTGCCTAATGTAAGAATAGTAAAAATAGCATCCGGTGCTGATCACTTAGTATTACTTAATGAAAATGGGCATGTGTATACATGTGGATGTGCAGAACAAGGTCAACTAGGACGCTTAGGTGCTAGAGCAGCTAGTAGAAATACCCGTCACGGCATGGGTCCTTTGTTAACTCCAGCTTTAGTTGAATTTAAAGTTACTAAAAAATTAGAGTTCGCTGATATATGGGCTGGAACATATTGTACATTTGCTAAAGAATATCAAAAAGGAGATATATATGTATTTGGTTTAAATAATTATTATCAAATTGGTAAGTAATATGAAAGAAACAGCGTACTGTAGAAAACTGCAAAATATTATTAAATGTTACAAAAATTGTTTCAGGTTTAAAAGATCCTGTTACTCATTTTCACCCCCAAATTTCCAAAACTTTTAGTGGAAAGGTTTGGAAACACATTAGTAGTGGCCAGCATCATACTATAGCTCTAGATGATTCTGGCCAGGTATTTGTTTTGGGTCGTAAAGAATACGGTCGCCTTGGACTTGGTCCTAACTGTTCAGATGCAAAAGAGTTAACGCCAGTTCCTGCTTTAAGTTCCATTAAATGCGTTGACGTTGGGGCGGGAAGTGCTCAATCTTTTGCTGTTACTGAATCAGGTAGTTTACCTATTTTATTATTGCTTATTAATAACTTATCATTAGCATAATTATTATTAAATATTATGCTTTCTCGGTATAGGGGATTTGTACTCGTGGGGTATGGGTTCGAGCGGCCAGTTGGGAACAGGAGAAGAAGAAGATTCTGAAAAACCTGTGTTAGTTAAAGGAAAACAGTTAGATGGTAAAACGATAGTACGAGTTTCAGGTGGAGGACAGCATACATTAACGTTAGCGACAACGTCCCCCGTTAAAAAAAAAACTGCCGGTTAATGGCAACTTGTTTATTAAATTTAAAGTGTTTCGCGCATGTGATAGCAATTTGGACAACGAAATGAAGAAAATCTAACGAAATTGAACTTTCTTGCACAAAAATCATGGTTGAGAAGAAAGTGTAATGAATACATTTTTTATGAAGTATCGTAATTTCGATAGTAACACGCGATACTTAAATGTGTGTATAATTTTTCTTTCTATTGTTATTTTTTCTACTTATAATTGTGTATTACAATAAAATACATTTTTCTACTTGAGAATTACATACTATTGCAAAAATTCCTTTTATCATGTAAGGTTACACAATATATTATGTTTATCACACTTCCCACTATTACAATTTCATTTACAAGAAAAAGATATCGCTTATAATAAAAATTAAATAAAATTATAGTTACGAGGACACTGGCCTAAAATAATAAACTATTACACAGTAATGCAAAAACAGTGCTGCATTTAAGTCATTCAATTAAATGCAAAATAAAGGTTTTATAATAATTTATTCTAAGTTTCATTCTGTAAACTACAGAAATAACCACTTTGTAAATATAAATTATACCACTATTTAAGTGATAGATGCTTACAGGTCATCGGAAGAAAAAACTATTAAATGCATAATATACATAAAGTTTCCCTAACAAAATAGTATTCTTAATTCATTTTTGGTTGTTCTACAGCTTTACCCTTTGCGAAACTTTCTTCTTGTAAAGAAATTTGCTGGAGTTTTTTCCCAATGCGTTCTTGAACATCTAAATATTTAGCAATACAACGATCTAGACATACAGATTCTCCCTTGCTTAATTCTGCGGTAGTATATTTTGGTGGAATACACTTTCTGTGACATGCAGATGTCATACGGTGAAACATATCAGTCATCATTTCAATTTCTATATCTCTCACTAATTTTAATTGTTCTTCACTGAATTGAGGTAACCCAGCCATTTTGTAGTTGAATTGTTTCTTATTTTATAATATGTATGTATATATATATATATATTTATATATACACATATATGTTACCAAACATATAATTTTATTCTATAATATTAGAATCACGTATGCGCTGTCTTGATCTCATATTCTCATATCGTCTATCATGTATCCGTCTTTTCGCTGTCGAAAAAGCACATACTCCGATAACAATAGCTGCAGCCCTGCAAAAATTATTACTATATAAATGATATCTAACGATCTGAACATACTATACGGATTCAGAAATACGAATTAATATAAATATAAAGAAACGTATATATTATTTATTCTTACTATCAAATTCTTTTATGTAAGACGTTAACCATTAAGAAGAGAATCTGAAAATAGCGACTGCGTGCACATTTAATTAACCTACCATCCAATCGCTATCTTTGTGTAACTTTGCAAAGCCATTCTTTTTCTTAATTCATACAAAATATCGTTGAACTAAAAATTAATTGCATATACCTGTACGTTCATTCATGCAGCCGTGCAATTATGACTATACATGTGACCATGTAATCATACAACATACATCCATGAGATCATCATGCGACCATGTGGTTTCTGGTTTTCTAGTGATATCGTATAGTTTCTTGTAATTAAATCACCAAATGAATAAAAGGTGATGGCAGATTATAAAGAATGTAGAAAAAGCAAAGATGAAACAGAAGAAAGTAAGCAAATTAAAAGAAGGCTGCACAAAATAATAAATAAAAAGTTAGAGGATTTTATGTTTTGTATGTGACTATCCTGTAAGATGTACATATGTTTGTATGTACATACATATACATATATAAGTACTTACTCACATCCATATATATTTGCGTCATAAGAAAAGTGGAATCTACGATTAAACATCAAACACCAGTAATTTGCAGTAGTTGTAAAAGGTAATTGTTACATGAAATTGGTAAAGTTGACGGATGCAGTGTTGGTTCTGATAATTTATGTAAATGGTTTTTATACCTAATGTATTGATATGTTAAAGAAAAAAAAAGGACGGACCTTTAAATCATAAAAGAAACAAGTGTGTAAATTATCCAAAATAAAAGACGCTTGTAACTAAATATAAACAGTTGTATATAATTACCTGTTGAAGTTTGTATCCAATATTAGTGAAAAATATGTTGAAACAAAGTAACTTTTTTACGCACAACATTGGTATAGCATGGAAGACGTTTGTTCGAGAATCTTGCGATGTTTCCCCGATACCCTCGGAAAAGAAGGAACATCGTTTAAATTTTCAAGACAACCAAGCAAAAGAAGCTTACGAGGAAATTATACATGAAAAGAACGATGTAAACATAAAGTTACAGCATAAGCACTGTAAACAGAAATCGTTTGTTACTCAAAATGCAACTGACATGCCAGTTTCAATGAATGGCAGCAATGAAAAAGTTAAATATAATTCAAGAACTGATGAAAAGGTGACGATTAATGCTATATTGAAAGCAGTAGAACAAAAGGATTTTGAATTTTTATTGAAGCACATGACACATGACAATGTTAATCTGATGGATGATTTTGGCTGGACACCTCTTATGTCGGCTGCATATTGTGGCCACTTAGATATTGTAGAATTTTTATTAAACCTTGGTGCTAACAGGAAAGTGAAAGAGAAATCTGGCCTTACTGCAGCACAATTGGCATTGAAAAAAAATTATTTAAACATAGTTGCCTTACTCAAAAAGAGAACACAATCTATTACTAATAAAACGTTAGCAGAAACAGATGCATATACATCAGAAATAAATACTGATGCTGCAGCAGATAAGAAGTCAGATGATAATAATGAAATCATATATCACAATATTGATAATGAAAAGAATTGCCCAAGCAAAAGTACAGGGTTTTATTGTGATATTTGTGAAGTTCACTTTTATGACACAACTTGGAAGAAACATCAAACATCTACATTACATATTTTTAACTCCAAGCCAAAACTACCAAGTACAATGTATGGAATATCAAAACAAAATAAGGGCTATCAAATGCTGTTAAATCATGGATGGGATGAAGAATGTGGTCTTGGACCATCAGGAAAAGGAATAAAGTATCCTGTTAAAACCTGTTTAAAAACTGATAGAAAAGGAATAGGCCAACCGAATGAGAAAGAATACAGAGTAACACATTTCAAACCTGGAGATATTGCAGCAATTGGTAGTCCTAAAATGCTTAAGCAAAAGGGCTTAAAAAAGAAAGATAGGGAAAAATTACTAAGTAGGGAAGTTAGAAAAGAAAAAGCGCTACGTATTGCTTTATCCTAAAGCAGTACCGAAACATTTGAAACTTTGAAACTTTTTCTAATAAGACTGAATACAATATAACTTTACATTCACTATTTAAATGTGTATGTGAATTTTTGTTTTATTCCATTTGATTTCGATATGTACAAGACTGTTTACAGATCAAGCAATATCCTGACAAATTGTTTTTTTTTACAGATGAAACTTGATCAAGAGAAAGCTTTAAAACACATACAGCAAGTAGAAGAAAAAGCAGGGGAGATTCTTACAGATAGGCAGGAAATAATTGCTTTAGACAAAAGAAGAAATGACGATAGAGTTGGTATGAGAGCACTACAGAAGGCAGGCAGTAACAAAACTTGGATAACTGTTGGACCATTATTACTTAAAATGTCATCCAAAACTGCAGAAGAATTACTTGTAAAAGGTGTCGCATATCATTTATTATTCATTTGTTCTGATATTTTTGTTAAATGAACAGTAATTAATTTCATTTTTTATTATGTTGCAGATCAAAAGGAATGTGACATTGAAATTAATAAAATAAGAAGTAATTTAAAAATTAAAGTGAATGAATTGCGGGATTTAGAACTTAATCCACCTGTTCCAGGCTTGATGTTACAGCCCATGTCTCATAAAGAGATGTCAGCAATAAAGCAAGTCTTAGGTTCTTAAATGTATACAAGTACTTTATTGTTAAAAGATGCTGCTTCTAAGTCAATTTATATAAATATTAATTAAGTATTGTGTGAAATTTGTACAAATTTATTATAAGAATGTAAAAGCACTAATGAAACATAATAGTAATAAGTGTTTGTACAATTGTAATGTTATGTATGCTTTAAAAAGAAATTTCTTTAAAAATCCCTCTGAGTGTTGTTTTACTTTAGTCGTATTATGTATATTTTAAGATGTTAAATTAGTATAAACGTTTTTAGTGCCTTTGGTACAATGGGCGCTCTCAATTGTCCGCATAATATTACGTACGGTTCATACAATAAATCTTAATTGTTAATTTAATAATAGATTATTGATCAATCCTCCAAAGTTATCGTGCTCGTCAGCATGTGATTTTCATATAAACATGGCACAGGTGATCCCTTGATAGCAGTGTGTACTGAAGCTAATTTTTAATAATAGTGAACAAATAGCTAGTGCAAAATGTTTAACACCAGTATTATTTGAAAATTTATAATTTTTTGTTGATGTCATATATGGAAACATATTTGACTGACGCTAAACAAACGCATATATATAAATATATGTAAGATTTAACCTTATCTTGAAGTGGTTATTTTAAATATATGAAAAGTTAGTATAAATAAGAAAAGATGACGTCGCGAGAGGTATTAACAATTCAGCTGGGCCATTATTCCAATTTTATTGGAACCCATTGGTGGAATCTACAGGTAATTACAATAAGATTTACTCTTCGAAGATCATTAAAATGAAAGTTAATTTTCATTTAAACATTTTCAGGAATCGAATTTTTCCTATGATCCGGCTAATCCCTCTGAAGTTAATCATGATGTTTTATACAGAGAAGGAGAAAATTTCAAGGTATCTATCTCTTAAATTCAGGAATGTAGATATTTATAATCTGTGGCTAAAAACAAATGGATGATATTCTTTCAGAAAGAAGTGACTTATACACCTAGACTGTTACTTGTGGATTTGAAAGAATCATGTGGATACCTAAAACAGGAAGGTACTTTATATGATATTCCACAGTATCAAGGAACAGAATGCTTGTTATGGGACGAAGAAAAGGTAGAAGTTACTCAGGAAGAACCAGCTACTAAAACACCATTTGTTAAAAGTTTAGAAGAGCCATCTGAAACTTCAGAACTTACGTCTTATGATTTAGAAGATCACATTAATTCATGGGTGGACTATCTAGTACCTAGATTTCACCCTAGAACAGTGAATATTGTGAAACAATATAAGCACGAATGTACAACACAACCATTTGATGTTTTTACTTATGGAAGGAATTTATGGAACGCAGAGAAATTTTCAGAAGACTTCTGTGATAGAATAAGAGCCTATGTGGAAGATTGTGATTTAATGCAAGGTTTTCAGGCATGTGAATTAATCTATATAAATGATTGACCTCGTATCATTTCATAATATTGATGATATTTATGAAATATAGATAATTCTAGATTCTGTGGATGGTTTTGCTGGACTTGGAGCGTCGTGTATGCAGTACTTAAGAGACGAATATGGAAAAAGTATATTGTCATTTCCCTGTATGGACAGTAAAAAGACTGAACCTTCTATGTCGAATCTGGTCCAAGCACTAAATACAGCTCTATGTTGGCAACATATAGGAGAATATTCTTCCTTGTATAGTCCACTTTGTTGTGGACAAACGGGTTGGCCACAGCCTGGTGATCCAAGACCATTTAATCATTTAATATACGATGCCGAATTAAACTATCATAGCAGTGCACTTTTAGCAACTGCTTTAGACACGTTAACGTTAAGATATAGACGTAAAGAGTATCCAAACGTTGTTCTATCCGACTTGTGCGCGGATTTGAACAAATTAGGTCGAAAAGCAGCCGCAACGAGTTTGAGTTTGCCATTTCCTATGGTCGCAAAAATGGATCTGATCGATGTGCTGGACGAGTTCGAGGGAAACATATGGACAAGTTTAACACCAAGTTGCGACATACCAATGGACAAAAATATGCAAAGCGTAGTTTTACGAGGAATCCCCGAAGATAGATTGAAACGATCCGGTCCCCAGGCGATGAAACAAATGTCAAAACCCGCATACCGATGTTCTACCGTACACGAGATGATGACGCTTTATTTAGCGTGTACTTGTCATGCATCTGCTACTTATTTATCGACCATTTCGTCAGCATTGAACATAAAGGATCCGTTCCCAAAAATTTTCAGTAACGACATCACTGAAACTGGAGATATTGCTAAGTGGCCTGTAGGATCAGGTAAGTCAATGAAATAGAACAAATCATTTCATTCTTCTACATAATTATCTATCTTTAGACGTTAAATCGGTTCCTGTTATGGCTGGTCTACACAGTGGAAGCACCCTGGGCACGATGTACGAATATTTGCACGTTCAATTGAGCAAAATAAGAAGCATCAAGAAATTTTATGCGTTTATGGAATCAGGTTTAGAAGAAGACGAGTTTAAAGAGTGCCTCAATCATCTGCTTGATTGCAAAGAAAATTATGAAGACCATTATGTATAAAAAACACTAACGAATGCAGTTAATCTTATTTTGAACTTTGTTTGTAATACATTGTTTTTCATTTGTAAAATTTGTATCGAGTCTTTCATTTCTCAATTCTTCTTTGCAAGGTTATTGGAAAAAAATGGTCGGTCTAGAGGGAATTTGGGTTTTCCTCGTAAATTCTTTACCGAAACAGCCTTGAATATGGGAGTGGCGGGACACACCCTGGTTATTAGATTTCCTATTGAACATTCCTAGCGCGAAAACTCAGTCGTAAACGAAGAAGCATCGGCCAAAATTTCATTCTTCATGTCTATATAAGGTTGTTTTCGCGAGTGTTCTCGTTGCTGAATAAAATGGGAAACAAGGTAGCGACGTTCACTGAGGAACAGCTAGAGGATTACCAAGACTGTACCTTTTTCACGCGCAAGGAAATTTTGAGGTAATTTCAATCTTTAGGAAGTTTAAATTTAGCTTTTTTACATTCGTTTCCGTGTAGGATATTTAAACGATTTCGAGAAATGGGTGATCCTGGAGCAGTTCCACGATGTATGACGGCCGAGCAAGCGTCCACTCTTCGTATACCATTGTCCTGTCTAACGCGTATACCGGAATTGAAGGTTTCTAAAGGATTTTTCTTACGATTGAACGGAAACACGAAACACGTTCGACGTTGAACGATTTCGTTTCAGGAAAATCCGTTCAGGCAACGTATCTCGGAGGTGTTCACTAGACGAGTCGTTCAGAATTTGGGCCAAGCGACTACGTCCAACGACGCTGGAATCTGCTTCGAGGAGTTCCTCGAGATGATGTCGGTTTTTTCGGAGCAGGCGCCGCGGGACTTGAAGGTCTTTTACGCTTTTAAGATTTACGGTACGGACCACCGCGTGAACCAGACAGACAGAAGATCGTGAGAGAGTTTCGAGGTCGGCTTCGTTCTACCTATAGCTCGTTCTATGGGATTCAGAAGTAGATATACGTATGGTGCTCAGGCACGAGACCGTCTATTGATTTTCTCCTTGCACTATAAATTACAGCTTGTAATTCGATCGATTAAAACGTTTCTTACCCTTCTTGTTCTTCCGTTGTGGGTTTTAGGTGGTATAGATAATTAATCTTCTTAACGGTTCAATACGAGAGAGATAGAAGGGTGAAGGGTTAAGTACCAAGCCGGTTAACCGTTTCTAAAAGAATTCCATTTGCTTGATCGAAGACGTGCCTTTGATTTCTCTGCGTAACTTTTATTTTTGGATAAATAGATTTCGACGAGGATGGAGTGCTAGGAACGAGCGATTTGGAGCGCACCTGTCGACAGTTAGTTCAAGGTGGTCTGAACGGCGAAGAAGTGGCCACCGTCTGCCGAAAAGTTTTGGAGGAAAGCGACATCGACGGAGACGGTGTTCTATCGTATTTGGAATTTGAACACGTCGTCACCAGAGCTTCGGATTTTATGGCAACCTTTCACATAAGAATTTAATCTTCACACTTTCGAAATTCAATAAAATCTACTGCAACTCCTTCACCTAAGAAAATATGATTATTCTTAGCGAGCCCAAAATTTCATACAACCTTATCTGAACAGCCTGTATACCTTTTAATATCTCACGATCTCATAAGTTGCTTCTGTTGAGCAATAACCGGCAATGCTGACCAAATAACCAGGCCATTTGTTTTCACTCCGTACAGGAACCTCCTGCAACTTCTGAAAAGGCTCCAATAACTTTTACATATCCTTTGTAACGATGTATAAATCAATTCTCGCCCGATGCACGACGCAGGGTTTGGAGGGAAAAAGCGTAGCTAAAGAGGAACGATTCGTCTCGAAGATCCAGTTGATTTCCAATGGTTTAAAGGCGTCGTTAAAACGTAATCGTTCGCGAATGCGTTATTAAGGCGTTGCTTTTGAGCGAGGTGCGCGTCGTCGAGGAGCATTCGATCTTGAAAGGTAACAAGGACAAAACCTCCCGATGTTCGACCTGCAGTCGATTATACCCGTTTAAACGAACAGAGAGGGGGAAGAGAGGTAGAAGAAGAAGAAGAAAGTGCAGCTCGGTAACAACCCATCATTTTGGTGTTGCTTGTTAACCATTTTACTGTGGACGACACATATACGAGTCATTGAAAATTGACCATTAATGGCTAAAAACTTATATGTACTGCTATTAATTGAAACGCTAAATTAGTGTAGAATTACAACAGGGTAAAGATTATCTGAGAGAGTATTCAAGCAAATATTAATCTCATACTTGGAGCATCAACTTAACTGGTACTTCACGAGTTCTTAAGATTGAAGCTAATAACAAAATTGCACGAAAGTTAAACGAAACGCATAAGTTAATACGATATTTAGTACATATAAGAGTTGATCAAGGGTGAAGGGTTCGAGAAAGAAAGGGAAATCAGGGTGGTACGATGGGGTTGCAGATTGTAAGGGTCGTCAGTTTTCGGCGTTAGTCTTTTGGACGGTTCCTCGATGCCGCCCTGGTGACGCGGATGGCGCGCGGTGGCCCGTGGTCCGGTCGTGTTTAAAAAAGCGGTCGAAATCGGAGATACCGCCCTGTGTGTTACGGAGCTCGACCAGTTATAGTCGGCCGCGCGGTAACTAACCGAGTCTTGGGACCAAGGCCATCCGGTCACTTCTCATCCTTCTCCCGTTTCCCCGCTCTCGCATCCCTGCCGTTCTTCTTGCCCGTCCACCAGGCCATCGGGGTCCGACAGGGCCCCCTTCGCCTCCTTCGGTCCACCGTCGACACCCTCTGTGAGATTCCCTTCCCTCCTCCTCCTCCTCCACCACCACCACCTCCTCTTCTTTCTTCCCGCCACTGCTGCTTCGTGAATCTCCAACAGAGTCTCTCCCTCTTTAGAGATCTCAGCCGACCAACCACCACCTTCCAGTGTGCGGTGCCACAGCAGTATCCGTACATTCTTGCAGCTCGTCGACGAGACGCGACGCGATGCGACGCGACGCCTGGAAAGCATCGTCTCGACGTGTTTTGGTGGAAGGGAGACGAAGAAATCGGGGAAAAGAGGAACAAGAATAGGTACGAGATCGCGGGTGGCGAGAAAAGGAAAGGAAGGTGAGAGAAAGAGAAGTTGAGGAGTAACGAGAAGTTGAGAAGGGGGGAGGGGGAGCAGGGTTGGTTGTGAGATGATAGCGGAGGCGGTTGGCGGAGGGCAGATTTGAAGGTAACTTTTACGGCACCCTACGTGGGCGAGTTCTCTCGCGGGAGATCTCTGGAACCTTCCTCGGGACCTCGACCCCGCGATCGCGCCACGACATCGTCGCCACGAAACCTTTCCGATCCGCTTCGTGATATTATATTAGGTTGCTCAGAATAAAATGGTTGATTTATTTTTAAACATCTTTTTATGTCATGAAATCCTGTTAAACTTTGCATGTTTCAAACTCAACCAGTTGATATGCAATTACTTAGTTACCGTTTTGGTTGTTTCCATTGCTCTATCTTACAGAATCCGGATATATCCGACGCTCGTCTGTCCCCCTTTCTCGATTTTCAGCCCGCCATTAGAACGGTTAAGGTATTACTAAGCGATGAGAGGAGATTGCACTGTTTTCTAGAAGCTATTTCTCACGCGTGTAATCGAACGCGTATTTTTTCCTCCAGCAACTCCATGTTCCCGCGAAAGAGAAGAAGAAAAAGAAGAAGAATCGGCTCGCCGAAAAGAGCTATTTTGTCGGCGCTATCTCGAAGGTGCGACAGATCCTTTTTCGGGAAACACAATACGTTCCTTGATCGCGAACCAAGTCGGCCTCGCGGTCGAAAAGAGCTGCGATTAAATCGCCGCCATCTACCGTCACCCAAGACTGCTCGTAATACCTCGTTAAATCGCCACGACTGTCCCATTCTTCTTGAGGGACCAATACTTTTCAGATATTCCTCCAGAAGGAATCGTAATTGGACGGAACAATTAAAAAAATGCTCCGTTCGTTCCTCTTTCCTTGCTACCTGTCTTATCGAAGTATACGATCCAATGGTGTAGAATGTCTTTTTCGATGTTCAACCAAGAATGCGATCTAATTAAATCTTCTAGACCCTTTTCAATTTAAGAATGTAGAGTTTTTCTATAGATATTTTGTAATTTAGAAAATTTAACTACGCCACACGATAGATGAGATCGAGAAAAGCGAAGGCAATACCGGCGTAATGTCACGAGGCTCGCAATTATTCAGAGCAATGGAGCCTTTACGTCAAGTAGGTAATTCATTGCGTGCTCGATTCGAATGGAACAGCAAAAGTCTGGTTAAATTATCGCGACGACAACCAGTTAACCAGTTTCGTAACTTTCCGAAGGAAAAGGTAACAATATTGCTAACTTTTCAAAGGTTCAGGAACTTTTCAGTTGCTGGACGAGTTGCCCACTTAAAACATTTGATTTCATTACAATTATAGTGTCTACTCGACACCATGAAACATGCAAGATTTACGTCAAGTTATGAATTTTTCATTTCTTTCCGATTATCCAAAATTACGCTGATGCACAGAGAATTAAAGAGTTCCCTGTCCTTTTTACGAACACGCGTTACTTTCTAAGGCTTTCATTGTCCCGATGTTTCGAGTTTGTATTATTTTCCTTTCTCGCCTAACTCGAGCCGACAGGAGGTACGCGTTTATTTACCAAAAACGTGGAAATCACATGATATTCTACGGACGATGCGAGGCCTTTCGAATGCACGAAACGTTCGTGGAATAAATTTAGGCGGTACTTGAGCGGAAAGCTGATCTACCGGCCACAACCAGTTGCGAAACTTCTTTAAGTACCGTCGCAGACTTTTATTCAGAGTGGCCTGTACCGGTTCGCCGTTTCGAACTTGAAATAAACTGCAACGTTGAATCGATCATAGCCAGGCCGCTATCTAGCCTTAGAAAGCAACAAAAGAATAGAATAATGTGCTTTACGAAATCTTTCCAGAACAATCGATTGCGTATAATTTCAGGAAATTCCGAATCGTTGACCCTTTCGCTATGTTTCGCTGTGTTTCGCTGGGTAATGTCGTAAGTCGTAAGCGAAAACTTGGCGAATAATTTCTGGACAATTTTCTTTATTTCTATTCCCCGAGCGTTTTCA